ATAACTCCACTCCTCCTAACCCCACGTTTAATTTTCAGAATTCTGCCTTACTGTGGAAATGTTTCTACCTCAACATGGTCCTGATAGAATGATATGTCTAAATCAAAGGCACCTTTCCTTCTACCTCACCTGGGTCCTTAAATATGACAGTGCCATGTCTCCTCATAACATCTTGTCTCTTTGTTTTTCCAGTCTGACATACGCGCATTCACCATGGCTAAAACACCTGGCACCAGCATCTACCTGAGCATCAACCTTCATCCCGTCTACTCCCCTAGGCTCCAGAACAGCGCCCTTTGCCAGCAGGAAGTAGTTAAAGAGAGAAATCTTCGCCCCTTTTCATAATAATAATCATAAGACGGGATATGAAAGGGTTTTGGCCCAGATAGGACACTGTAGCCAGGAAAGCCACAACCGGAAGCAGGAAGCCCCATCTCCCCTGCCCCTAGGAAGTTACCTGTGACGCCATCTTCCCGCCCCTGGAAATTTACATATGGCACCAAACCTAGGACCAATGGGCTACCTGTGTATCCCTAATGCCTGCCTTAGGTTCCACCCCAAACCGAGGCTATTTACAGGCCCCCACGCCACGTGTCCGCCGGAGAGATCACCGGATGCCAGCAGTGGGGGTGCCGGTCATCTCTCTCCGTGTTCTCAGAATAAAGGCCGTTTTTTATTTTATATTTCTCATCTTTTGTTAATATTTTTCATCTTTTGGAAATAACTCTAGCAAATAGTATAGGGTTTTTTTTTTTTTTTTTGTCTTTTTCCTTTTTATCGGTAGCAGTGCAAGACCGGTGTCGCGAAGAAGACCCCAAGGACTCAGCTCTCATGTAAGAACAAAGGGGTTTTATTTTCTGTGCACACAGGGTTCTCCAAATAGGGGGGAATGGAGAACCCCGAATTGAAGCGAGGCTGGTGTTTTTAAGGGTGAAAACTGCAAAGCAAGCGTTTGGTACAGAAGCCAATCATTGCAGTTAGGGCGGGATAGTTGGCGATTTGTGATTGGTCAGATCACAAAGGGTGACCAGCAGGTTAGAGTTGATTAACTGCCTTGTTTTGCACAACTTATCTTTAGGATACCTGGTTCCCGTGTGGTTTGTTTTTGACATACTTTACAACCCTGATTAGCATAATCGGCAAGTTTTATCTCTGAGTTCCCTGACACAGTGCAGCCAGAGCACATCACATTTGCAGATGTTTTCTTTTGATCTTCCTGCAGGGCTGAGTTAGGACTGAGTCATGAGGCCCAGTTGTGTTTTTAGCTGAGAAACAGTATCTTGTTTTTAACCTTTAATTCTCTGGTCTTTCACCGGAGATTGAACTCACGACTGCCTGCTTGCAAGGCAGGCACTTATGCTGCTGAGCTAAATCCCCAGCCCCAACAGTGTAGTCTTGAGGGCATCTATTTACCTAAAAATGACTCAAATTTATCCTTATTTATGACAAAGTAGTATTCCATTGCATATAAATACCACATTTTCTTTATCCATTTGTTTGTTGATGGGCATATAGGCCATTTCCAAGATTTAGCTATTATAAATTGTGCTGCTATAAAAATGGGTATGCATGGGTATCTCATTGTAGTTTGATGCTTTTCCAGAAGATGTCTAGCAGGAAACACAGCTGAGGCAAACGGAACCTCTACTTTTAGGTTTTGAGGAAATTCCACACCGATTTCCACAGTATTTGTATCAGTGTACCTTCATAACAACAGTGGAGAGGAGTTCCTCCCCACCCCCCCATAACTTTCCCAGCATTGGTTGCTGATTGACTTCTTGATAACACCCATTCATTCTGTAGTGAGATGCAATCTCAGTACTGTTTTAATTTGCATTTGACCTGTGATGTTAAACATTTTTTCATGTATCTATTTGCTGTTTGTACTTCTTCATCTGAGAAGTGTATACTCATTTCAGATGCCCATTTTATGATTAGGTCTTAAAGTTTGGGGAGTGACCTCACTTTTTAAAGTTGTATATGCTGGGAATGATGGTGCATGCCTGTAACCCGAGGACTCAGGAGGCTGATGCAGGAGGATTACTGTGAATTCAACAGCAGCCTGGGCTAAAAAATGAGTTCAAGGCCAACCTAAACTGCACAGTGAAGCCCTGTGTCAGAAAGATTTTATATATATATATATATATATATATATATATATATATATATATTCTAGATGTTAGTCCTTTGTCTGAGGAATAGTTGCTTAATTATCCATTCTGTGGTTTGTCTCTTCAATCTGTGGGTGGTCTTTTGTTGTACAAAAACTTCTTGATTTGATCTGATACCAGATGTTCATTCTTTGTAGTATTCCCTATACAATCAGAGTGTTGTCTATAAAGCCTTTGCCTATACCTACATCTTCTAGAGCTTTACCTATTCTACCTTCCAACAGATTGTTTCTGTTTTTATATTTAGATCTTTGATTCATTTCAACTTTAGTAGTACATGGTGAGAGATATGAGTCTACATTTAGTCTTTGGCACATGGAAAGCCAGTTTTCCAAGCAAAATTTATTAAAGAGGCTATCTTTCTTCCAGTTAATGTTTTTCCCCCTTTATCAATGATAAGGTGGCTGAGTGTGTTTGGAATGTTTCTGCATATTCTATTCAGCTCCATTGATCTTCAGATATGTTTCATTGCCAGTACCATGCTGTTTTTACCATGGCAGCTTTGTAGCATAATTTAAAGTCAAGATTGTGATGTCCCCTGCCTTGCCCTTGCTGCCTAGAATTACTTTTGCTATTCAAGTCAAAGTCTTTCCTGGTTGCAAATGAATTTTAGAATTATTTTCTCTAGTTCTGTGAGGTGTGCTATTGGTATTTTGACTGGGACTGCATTAAACATATATATAACCATTTTTGGAAGTGTGATCATTTTCAGTGTATTTTTTCTGCCTACCAAGAACAGTGAATGTCATTCCATTTTCTGATACCCTCTTTGATATTCTTTTTCGGAGTACTATAGTTTTTTGGTTTTTTTTTTTTTTTTTTCTTTTTCGTCTTTTTATCGGTACCAGGGTTTGAACTCATGACTGCCTGCTTGCAAGGCAGGCACTTATGCCGCTGAGCTAAATCCCCAGCCCCAGAGTACTGTAATTTTAATGTAAAGTCTTTCACTTCCTTCATTAAATTGACAGCTATTTCATTTTTCTTGATGCTGTGAAAGGTACTGTTTCCCTAATTTCTCTCTCAGTGAATTTGTTACTTGTGTACAGGAATGCTATTAATTTTTTGTGTTGACTTTGTATCCTGCTACACTACTGAATTTGGTTATTAAATGTTGGAGTCTTTGCCGTTTTGGGGGTCTTCAATGTAGAGTTATATGTCATCCTGAAATCAGGATAATTGAACTTTTTCTTTCTTAAACTTTTTCTTCTTTCTTTCTCTGTCTCTTTCTTTCTTTCCTTCTCTTGCCTAATTGTGCTGGTTAATGTTTCTATTGTTTATAAATGTTTTTGGTTAATGTTTCTATTGTTTATAAATAGTGATAGCAGTCATTCTTGTTTTGTTCCTGATTTTACAGTAAAAAGTTTCAGATTTTGGTCATTGAGTGTGGATCCTGGCTGTTGGTTTGTCATAGTATGGCTCTTATCAGATTGCAATAAAGACCTTCTTTTCCTTTTCTCTGTAGTGTTTTATTACGAATAGATGTTGGACTTTGTCAATGCTTTTCCAATGTCTATTAAGATTAGTATATGATCTTTGTCCTTATTTCTGTCATGTAGTGTATTACATTTATTGGTTTGCATACGTTTTTTTCTTATTTTAAAGGGGGTAAAATCAAACTCAAAACAGAATAAAACAGGACATAAGAAAGCAATGTAAATGATATTCATTTCAAAGCTAGATGACCTGAGATATGCCTCACATATCTGTATGTCCTTCTAACCATTGGAGATATCCTTGTGTCCAGCCATCTATTACAATACATCTGGTCCTTCCAATACAGGGCAAATTCTAGATGTCAAATATGACAAGTTCGCATCCTCTAAAGTCAAAGAGTAAGGAACAACACAAGTTAAGACTAGAAAAATTTATTAGGGAAAAAGAATTGGAAATAGGAATAGGCAAAATTCCTGGTATAGGGAGGGTGGGGTGAGATAGTGCACCATTATCTGTTATTAAGGTATGTAGATAAATAACTATTGGAATGGCAGGCTCAAATTACTGATAAAGGTCAGAGCAAAACAAAAAACAAAAAAACTGCTCCTCAGTCAGATCAATCTAAAGGAGCACTGAATAGCCAGGCAAGGGGCGCCTGCCTCTAACCCCAGCACTCTGGGAGGTGAAGGCAGAATTCCAAGTTGAAGCCTAGCCTAGGGAATTTAGCAACTCTGCAAGACCCTGGGTCAAAATAAAAAGAGCGGGGAGGTAACTCAGAGCGAAAATCTTGGGTTCAATCACACAGAAGTGGGGTGGGCCGGATGGAGTAGACCCCAAACCAAAACTGAAAGGCTTTTGCTGAACGGGACGCGGCAGCCGTGGGAGGCTGAGTCGGAACCAAGAGGCTCTATCTAGAGGTCACCTTCTCCACCCCTAGGCAATTTACCTGTGGCGCAAAATGAATTCCAATAGGCTACTTGTGCATCAATAATGCCCCTTAGGCTCCACCCCAAACCAAAGCTCTAAGTATGCCCCCCACAACACTTGCCTGACAAAGAAAAGCCAGACCTCAGTGGTCCTGGGGTTCTCTCTCCGCGTTCTTAAAAATAAAGGACACTTTTATTTCATATTTCTATCTTTTTAGCCGCGCCGAAAATTCTATCAAAAACGAGGCAAAAAAAACTTGGCAGCTTGCTCATCCCAGCGTCCCGGATCCTCAGCCTCGCGGGGTCCCCAGCGACAGGTTAGAGCGCCCAACTCGAGGAGGATGGAGACGACCCGGAAGCGAAGAGCCGGCGCCGCGGCCGCCCAGCTCCACCCTGCGGCCGAGCACCGGAAGTGGCGCGGATGGGGCGGGGCCTACGGGCGGGCGAGGAATCCCGCGCAGGCGCACTGCCTGCAGCCGCGTGGGTCTCCCAGTCTCCGCTCCCCGCGGGGCACGGCCTTCCGGCGCGGGCCGCCCCGGGCTGTCCCTGTCCCTTAGAGGAGGGGCCAGGTCAGCCTGCGGCTGCGCGGGGCCGTCCGCTGAGAGAAGGGTGTTCCTGTCTCGAAGGGCGGCGCAGTCGGTCGCGCCCTAAGATGTGACTTGGGGCCGCCGCCGGCTGGACCATGTTGGCCTCGCTGGAAGCCATGGCCCTGGTGCTGGTGGCCGGAGCGTGGCGGGGGTCACTCGCAGCCGCAGGTGAGAGACACGGCTCGCGGGCTCCGGGGCGCCCCCCTGCCCGAGGACGCCGTAGAAGTAAGGGTGGCAGTAAATCAGGACTGTGGCGTCTCTGGGCTACCTCGGGTCTTGTGTACCCCGGTGGCTTTGGGATCTGTGGCCGCAGCCGGAAACCGCAGCGGACTGGAGAACCGCGTCCCGGGCGTAGATCCTTCCTCATCGCGTACGCGGGGTCTAGGGTACCTCATCTTGGGTTGGGGGCGCCCTGCACACCGACCACCGCCAGATAGGTGGCTCTGCAGGAACCTTGGAGCTGGTTTATTCCTCTCCGGGAAATCCACAGCTTGACTGCCCAGATTGATGATCAACAAGGCCACCGATGCTTTCCTCAATGTGTAAACAACTGCGTCCCGACCCACACGGGGAAGTCAGATTAGCGTTGGAGAGATTTCCTGTGTCCGTTGGAATATGCTGCCCTCCGGTATAGTCTAATAAAAAAGAATAGTGAAAATACAAAGGCAGGAAGCCAGCAAGCTAGTTTGTTGTTATTCGTAATTGTTAGCTGGGCTGTAGCAGTAGACCGGTAACTATTCTAAAGTTGATACGAGAGAGGGAGGTATTTTTGTGGTAATATAGGATACCCAACGAGAAGCAGTACTTGGAATCCAAGCAGAGAAATTCAGGAGGTCTGAGAGTGGGTACTGATGGTTTCAAAGTACGTAATGTTGCCTAGAAAACCATGCTCCTGTGTGGTGTGTTTAAAAGGATGGGAATGTTTACTGGCCATCAAGATAAAACAGATTGGATGCAACCAAGAGTGTAAATAAACCCCCCTTTATGCATTTTATATGCTAAGAAGGTGAAATAAACTTGTTAAAAAGAGATTGCTAATCTTGTTTAGCGACCCTTATTTCCAAGTCCCCATCCATTTATTAACCAGTTATTTGTTGGTCTTGATGCTCTTGGCTTCAGAGTCTCCTTTCCTCAGCAGTAGGAGGACCACATGCCTAAAGACATCCCTAGTTCTACCCTATCAAGATTTCTTCTCCTCACTGATGGCCCATAATTACTAGAGTAAAATACTCAACAACGTACTGTAACAGATAGTAAGAGTACAATCAGATCTTTTGTTGGCTCCCAAATATATTTTGGCTGCACAAAATCTATAAATTCCAGAAAATAGGATAAAGGCCAGGCATGACGGTACACATGTGTAATCCCAACACTGGGAAGCTGAGGCAGGAGGATCACCATGTGTACCAGGCCAGCCTGATATATATAGTGAGTTCAAGGTTAGCCTGTACTACATAACCAGACCCTGTCGCAAAAACAGCAAAAGATAAGGGATATAGAAGTATATTCTGTTCAGTGATGAAGTTTCAGAGATTCTTTTGAGTGTGGAACTGAAAAATTGAGGAAGGGAAGACCGACCTGATGGTCCTTCCTTGCATTTAAAAGGAAACATTTGTTTTTCAGAAAATTTCTTCTCTTTTGATTCCATCTTGTATAATATCAGACTAGAAAACATCTCAATAAAGATGTTTTCTGTGAAGAACTTTGTGGTCTGTCAGGAACTAATATGATTGCTCTGAAGCAGAAGTAAAAGCTAGAAATATTGTGGAATGGTAAAAAAAGTATAAAAGCTGGTCTTTAAAAATTATCAATTATGGAAAGAAGGGCTGGTACTTTGTGACATGGAAGAAGTCCTGGGATATAGATTAGTGGTAGTATATCTGCCTAGTGCATGGACACCCTGGGTTTGATCCCCATGGCTGTAAAACATGAAACATTCCTGTGAGCCCTGCATTATGCTGAGTACTCCAAAGTGGCAAATTAAATTTTTAAATAGGAAGCTACACAGACCCACCCTTGGGAGACACTGTCTGCCTTGTATGAGGGGAGACCTGATGGTACGTCCTTACATTTAAAAGGAAAAATTTGTATTTCTATGTTTTGCACAAAGAAGCAGTTTTTAAAGTTGTGTCTTTTAAGGACTCACGAAAGAAGGCTGGAGTAGAAAGTACTGGGAATCTGTCTTCCCAAATGGACAGCAATTTTCCTTGACATAATTGTGACTGATGAACTATTCTGGAAATTTGACTCTTACTAAGAGCTCAACTCAAAGAGGAAGACTTGGATAAGCAGGGAAAGCTATCCTAATATCATACAAAATAGACTTTAAACCAGTTGTCCGTACAAAATAGTTCTGTTACAAAGGAAAATAAGAGAATAACTTATCCTGAGTCAAAGCTAAGTGACTCTGAGCTGGGCATATGGATTCACATTACCTTAAATGATACATTCCACCATGGAAGGGGTTACCTGAACTTTCATAGCCACAGAGCAACGGAAGTCATAAATCAGCACAGTCAGTAAATACACTGGTGAGCCTGTACCACAGGCACCTTAAGGCATAGCAAGGACTCTGTGACCACTGGACTGAATTATCATCTTACTGCGTTCTTAGATGAATCAGGTCCGGGATGTCCTCTTTTACCTAACTGGCGTGAGATTGTTGGGGCAGATACATCACCACTAGCACTGGCTCGCTTCTTAAGGTCCTGCAGTGGCCTTATCAGGCTTCCCAGTGCCTTGTATGGGCAGATGGTGCTTTATCTCTTTTTGGGAGGAAGAAGCTGTTCATTTCTGGTACTTGCTTTAAGACTTCTGCAGGATACTGTTTCTTTGGAAATAATTTAATTTCATATGATAAAGGTGGCAAGACATAAACATGGACATTGTATATTAATAAGAGGCTCAATACAAAAAGATAAAACAGTTATAAAGATTTATGTGTCTCAAAATCATCAAACTATCAGAAGCCAAAACTGATAAAATTGAAAGGAAAGTAGTTCTGTAATAATAGTTGGAGACTTCAATACGCTTTCCTTTTTATTGGTACCGGGGATCGAACTCACGACTGCCTGCTTGCAAGGCAGGCGCTTATGCCGCTGAGCTAAACTCAGCCCCTGTACTGTCCTTTCAAACTACCCCCCTTCCCATCCTCATTTACAAAAGCTTTTGTTTCTGTTTTTTCCTTCTTTTTGGGGAGGGAGCTTTTCTCTTTTTTCCTTTCCTCCTCCTTTCCTCCTTTTCCCCCCTCCCCATTTGAATGTTTTCTTTCTATTTCACAATACCAATTACACATTTTGGTCCTCATTTATACTTTAGGTTTCTCATACCACAGAAGCAATGAGGTGTTCACACCGTATCATACTTTTAAAAACCAAAAAGAAATACATCTCACATTCACCAAGTATGGGAGGCTGAGTCCACCTACTTAAGTGGGAGACTGTGTGGTGCAGATTAGAAGGTTCAGAGACCAGCAAGAGCAACATGAGCTGAAGTATTTACTCAAGGAAAGTTTTCTGTAAGGGTCAAACTGGAGCTGGAGCTTAGAGGATTGTGTTGTCAGAGATGGATGTATACTGTAGGTTGGAGGGTCCAGGAAGGAAAATGGAGAAGGGAGGTAATCCAACTGGTAGTAGATTTGTGTTAGAAGTAGTAGGAAGTAAGATAGGTCCATCAACAGAAATCCCTAGGAGTAAACAGGAAAGTTCAGTCTTGGTGTATTAGTAGAAGAAACCTTTTCAGGCTCCTGAGGGCTCGCTCACACATTCATACCTGTCTGTCTATGTTGTTTATGTGGCTTTTTGAAGAAGGCTGCCAACTTTGAAATCACGGTGTTTATAGTTCCCTGAGTGTGAAGCTTTATGCATTCTGCTCAAAAAATACAGTGATTTTTCAATGAAGACATACTACTATTACTCTTCTTTAAAATATTCTCCTTCACTTCAAACCCATTTATCTCTTCTTCCTGCCACTTTCTGAAGCAGTTCTAAAAGTCCTTTTCCATGAGTGTCTTTTAGTTGCGTTGTCAATGGCTGACTTAGTGTCCAAATCTATTCAAAATGTTCATTTTGACTTGGAGGAAGAGCCAGGAATCACATGGTGCCAGGTTCAGTGAAAAGAGGTGGATGAGGACACACAGTAATTTTACTTCATGGAAATGGCCATAAATGTTTTGAGTAGGTTCAGAACATGGAGGCAGCCCCAGAAAGAGGACTTCCAGAACCCTTTCAGAAATTAGAAAAAAAAAGTGTTTTTGAAGCCGCAAAAATATTTTGGGGGGTGGTTAAGGACAATGTGCTTCTTACTGTAATAATTTTTATCACACCTCACATTTGAACAAAATGTTGAAAGCAAACTGAGGCTGTTATAATAGTTCAGACTTGTATCTTTTACCTCATTATCACTTCTGAAACCAAAATAAGTTCTGTTTTTACATAGAGGTGGGTTTTTTTTTTTTTTTCAGTTAAAAGAGAATGTTCTGTATGGATGGAAATATATTCAATCTTTTTGCAGTTCTCTCAGATACAAAAGCAAAATTAGCAGGCTTACTAATATAGGAAGCCTCTGGTATAAGCACTATGGAAATCAGTGTGATCTAGGATTAGAGGTCCCATTCGACCCATCTATCCTCCTTTTGGGTATTTTTCCAAGAGAATTGAAAACATCTTACCACAGCAATATATGTGCACCCATGTTTTTAGCAGCACAATTTGTAATAGCTAAATCTTGGAAACAACCCAAACACCCACCAACTGTGGAATGAATAAAAAAGATGTGGTATTTCTATACAATGGAGTATCATTCAGCTCTAAAGAAGAATAAACCTGAGACTTTTGTAGATAAATGGATGCAACTTGGGACCTTACTTGTAAGTGAAATATATCAGACTCACATGTGTAAACATCATATTGTCTCCTAGTGTAAAAAACTGAAGAAGTAAATAAGATCCAAAATGTACAATTGGTATTGTGAAAGGAAATGAAACTGCTCAGAAGGTAAAAACAACTGGGATAGAGGAAAAGGAGAAAAAAAGAAAGAGAAAAGAAAAAAAAATAGATATATATATATGATATCTAAGATGATTACACTACTGATTTCTGTTAGCCCATCGAAAACACTGGTTTGTGCGTATCATTTAATCAGTTTTGCATACCGGTTTCTTGGAGTCTGAGCAATGACTTTGAAGATAACAGTATGCAATATATTTACCATTGTTAATTTCCATTATCTTTTTTTGTTTTGTTTTGTACTGGGAATCGAACTGAGAACATTGTGCTTGCCAGGCAGTCACTTATGCCACTGAGCTATATCCCCAGCCCAATTTCCTATTATCTTGTTTTGAAATTCTGTATCATTGTTTTTATTGTTTTTTTCTCTTTAAAATTAAAAAAAAATTTAAATATATATATATATATATATATATATATATATATATATATAGCAGGGCCCCTTTATCGATAGTTTTGCTGTAGTCATCCGCCATCAAAAAATACTAAGTAGAAAAATCTAGCAATAATTAGTTCACACGTTTAAAACTGTGCAGGATTTAGAGTACGGTGATGAACTCTCACTCTGTCTTGCCCAGCGTCAGAATCATCCCTTTGTCCCAAGTCTCCATGGTGAACAGTGACACTATCATGTTCTTCTATTCAAACTTGTATTCAAATAACCCTTTCTAAACTTGATAAAGCCCCAAAGCAAAAGTGCATACCACAATAGAATTGTTCTGTTTGTTTTTGTTGGTGATCTGTTACTGTGCCTAATTTGCATGTTATACCTGACCACTGGTTTGGATGTATGTGTATGTATGTGTATTTTGGTTTTTTTTCTTTTTTTTTTTAATTTTATTTAAGGAGAAATAAAAGCAGAGAAAGGGTACAAGTTATACAGATTTACAGAAAAAAATAAATCACTAGGAAATCACTAGTTAATGGATTACATATTGTCATCTTAGAAATAATTGTTCAAGTCACAAAATTAAAGCTTGTAAAGTGGACATTCCAACAGTGAGACTGCAAACAGTTCTGTTCAATGATCCAATAAAACTCAGTGATATCATTTTCTATCTTATACACTTAAATATACATGCAGTTATATCATTTAGAGCACTTTCTTTTCCTCTCTTTTGTACAATGACAATTACACATTTTGGGTTTTGTTGCTCCCACAGTTCTTATTACTTTTTTGGAAGAAAGTAGAACCAAATGTGACATAACAGAACAGAGTCAGTCAAATCAAAAGGGTCACATAATAGATAATGTAAAAGCATAATACAAGGTGATCAACAATGGTTACCATAATGCCTCCCGCTATCTCTAATAGAATTGCCTGTATCATCAGTTATAATAAAATTGAACAAAACAGTAAAGAACAAAACCGACAAAACCAAAACACTGGAGACATTGTAGGTCTTCAAAAGTAGATAAAAGTCATCGAGAATGGGTGTCATAATGAATCTCACTATCTTCACAGCTGTTGCCTAAACTTTCGAACCTGGTACTATCAAGCAAAGCAGAATAGGGGGACATCAGTCAAAAACAAGATGGTGAGAGTAATACAGGGCTTTAAATCAAGATAATGGAAAGTCAAAGTGGGTTACTATAATATATCCTGCTATTTTTATTTATTTTTCCCTTAATTAAAAGGATAAAAATAAAAAAGTAAATAATGGAGTGGAGTATGTGTATTTTCACACACTGTGAAAAAACCGTGTGTTTGGGGTTCAGTCGCACCTGCAGTTTCAGGCATCTACTCTCAGATCTTGGGATGTCACTCACAGATGAGGAGGGGCTACTATAACAAGCGATGATCAATGAATAAATACAGTGAGTGCTGGAATTCTTTTTAGCACCTACGATAAAAAACACATTACCGAGACTCAGCATAAGTGTGTTCAAAATAAGGGGGAGTATTTTCAGGAGGATTAATGGCATGTGTCTTTAATATATTTTTTTACTCCAAACGTTCATGGTATCTTTGATTGTCCCTCACTGGTCAAATGTTTATAGCAGTTTCTGTCAAAACCATTACTGTGTGTCTTTATCCTCCTTACTGCCAAGATCTAGCCCCATACAACTTCTGACTTTTCCCCAGACTCACAGTGACCATGAAAGGTAAATGTTCTGAATCAGTTCGGGACATTGAGGCAGCCACGACAGCGCGACTCTGAGGTACTCCTGAGAGAGGGTTCAGAACTGCTCCACAGAGTGGCGAGAATGATGGGATGCGTGTGTTTGATGTCAGGGAGAATATTTTGAGGGTAATCCATGGCATGTGGTTTTTAGTTTAATATTTTTTTAATTTAAACATTCACATCTCATACTTTGCTATATTGAAATGTATGCACTCTTTAATCATGACGTGAAGGGAAAAACAACTTTTTAAACTATCCACACAGTGTATATCTAAATATTTTGTTTCTTGTTGCCTTTATAGATGGAAAAAGTCAAAAGGCTCCTGAGACTGTGGAGGTCTCCATCATAGATGATGTCTTTACCCTGCAGTGGAACGGGAGCCAGGAGTCTGTTGGGAATGTGACTTATTCAGCAGATTATGCAACGTAGGTGACTCTTAATGATTTGCTAAATGGTGTGAGTGGCTCTTTGAATGTAATTTTATCCTGATTTCTTTCCAGGTTTGGGAGAATTTCATTTTGTCCATTTATTAGAAATTTTGTCTGTTTTATAGAATATTTGTAACTTCATTTCTATAGAAATGATCAAATTCATTTTTGAAGCAGAAGAAATTTGGGTATGAAAGTGGTAAACAGCTTTGCCCATTCCATACCCGTTCCCATTCCTTCCCTGCTCTGGTGCTATGCTAGCACCCAAACCAGAGCATGTCTGGAGAGTTTGCACAGTCTCCTAGAAGGCTGTGCATGGTCTTGGAAGAGGCTCCCCAGCCTCCTGTGCTCAGGTTTTCCTATCATCTTCATCACGTGCACTGGCTTAGTTCCAGATACAATTTATAGACGTCAGTGCACTGACTGGAACATCAATGTAGTGATTGGTCTCACTTCCACAGCCTGAATGTGGGTGAAGTTTCAGCGCCTCTTCCTTAGTGCTAACTTTCTGCTTCATAGATGCCTAGAGGACCGGCAGGCAGAGAGCTGTAGGAGGACAGATTGTTGAGGCTCAGAAAGCCAAGATCTTTGTGCCTGATTGGTGTCAGTGTCCTGTCTGCTAACCATGGCCCCCTGTCCAAGAAAGAACAAATGGTAAAGAAAACAAGTGCTAGGACCTTCAGAACCATTTCCCAGCTGCTTCGTCACCAGTGTGACACCGCTGTCTCCCATTAGCTGCTGACAGTAGGTATTAATCTCACAGTTCTATAATTATGAATGTGTTTCTATATGCATACACACATATTTATGTAGGAATTCCTTTTTAAATTGAGTTGTGAGGTTTATTACCAAGTTGTTCTTTGTCTTAGTTCACAGTTTTCTTATTAACTGACTTTGGTATAGCAGGAATTATTTCAGATACTGTTATTTAAAGATGCCCTTGGCATAATGGGTCGGAGAGCCCATTTTTCATTTCACATTCTTTCATATGCTCTTGCTTAAATTAAATCTTCAATTCATGCCCTGTCACCCTTCCACTGTGACTTTAGTATCAGTTGCCTTATTTCAGTGTGTCCTTAACCTAGTTTGTTTGTAAATAATTCCCTTGCAGGTCTGTGCCACACTACAAGCTGGAAAGATAAGAGAGTTAGTGTAGTGCAGTGTGGACCTGAGCCAGGCCACATGCATTTAAATCCATGCTGATTTTTCCTGTCTGTCAGTTTCCTGCTTATTTAGTGAATATGACCACATACAATTTATTATCCAAACCAAGATATCTGTGAGTGTGGAAAGAAGTTGTTCATTTTAAATGGGCTGGAATAACAAGCTTAAACTTGGCCCAGCGAAGTATATAGGGGTCCATTGACAAAGTTTGTAACTCAGTAGATTATTCTGAGTATTGATTAATTGTATATAATATGTTCAAGATAGTGTCACAAAGAAGTTAACTGAAATATAATCAATAACAGCAGCAGACAAGTACTTCTTAATGCAGGGTTTTCTAAAATGTAGGACATATAATAAGGGTAAAGAAAAACAAAAGATAGACAGATGAATAAATACATTGTTACAATCCCAGTGCTTGCAGAACATGTGGGCCTCCAGCCAGTGCCTGTAACATATCTAAGCCGGATTAGGGTTAATGTGTAGGATTTGTTTTTTGACTCTTCAAATACTGATTGCCTTTGACAGCACTCTTCTGTGTTCTCACAATCCCTCAATGAATAGGAGGGATGAAGGTGTTACAGAGTTTTATGGTTAAACTGGTCCTGTGAAGTTAATCTTACACCACTTACATACTCCTACTTCAAATCACATTCTGCTTTGGTTTATTTATTGTATATGATAAAGAATTTTTAAAGAAAATATAAAAATTACTTCCATTGCAGTAGCTTCTTTAAATACAAAAGCAGTTTAATAAAGAATCAACTCTTGGAACACGAAAGCAAACAGAATGCATGATGGTGGGTTGGAACCACAGTAAGCCTATTTTAATTTGGGGTGGAGTGCAGGAGAGTGTAGGGATTGAATTAAGGGTTCTTAGCACTGAGCGCCCAGCCCGACCCCTTTTGAATTGTTTGTTCCTTGTTTTACACCACTGGGGAGTGAACCCAGGGCCTTGATTCAAGCTACATCCCCAGCCCTTTTTTAACTTTTATTTTTCTCCCAGTCCTTTTTAGTATTTACTTTGGGGTAGCGTTTCACTAAATTTCCCAGTTTAGCCCCAAACTTCCAACCTCTGCCTCAGTCTCCCAAGTAGCTGAACTATAGACACACACCACCATGCCCAACCCTGCCCCTTTTTAGGAAGTGGAATCTGGTGGAAGTGGAATCATACTTCTCGGACCAACCAGTTCCACCAGAAGAATTCCTCTCCTTATGTTAACATTTTAAGATTTTGTGTGGTTTCTGCGGTTTATAATAAAATTGTGGAGAGCAGAGGGGTGCAAAAGAAACCCTGAAACCACACTGTAGCTGAGGTCTGTTTGAGGACAGATAACCTGGTCATAGGACAAGGAAGACAGGATCATCAAATCCAGTTCCCAAATTTTCAGTAGAAAGGTAAGATCCAGAAATGCAGAATAGTCCAGATTTTTTTTTTTTTTTTTTTGTCTTTTTCCTTTTTATCGGTACCAGGGATCGAACTCACAACTGCCTGCCTGCAAGGCAGGCGCTTATGCCGCTGAGCTAAATCCCCAGCCCCACATGACTGTGTTTTACAAAGCCAACACTAAATTTCCCTTTATGTATCATTTATTTCTCTGCTTCCTTGAAATTCATTTAGTGTGGCCATGAACTTAGGTAGAAAACTACAGTTAAAAGGCTCCCTGTCTACAGAGGGGCAGCCCTGCGATGGGGCCCACCATGGACTGAGGACGTCCTGGGACCCTGGGGCCATGCATGCCTGGCTCCCCTAGCAGGGAGGCTCTAAATTAGTTTCTTTCCAGAAAAAGGGGGAGGAAGTATCCCTGTGTAATAGAAAATGAGTTTTAAGAAAAAATAAAACACTGTGGAGATGATTATATAGGCAGCTTAACTGCTCATTTTTCTACACCAAAAGAAAGATTTGGAGAGGGGAACACCAGAAGGGAAGAGAAAAAGAAGAAAAAAAATTTTAGAAAAGGTGAAAAAAGAAAGAAAAAATAGAAACAAAGCTTTTGTAAATAGGGAGGCAAGGAAGGGTTGAAGGGAGAGTAGAGGAATGGGGAAGAAAAGAACCAAATTATGTCATGTACAGGTACAAATTCTCTACAATGAGTGTGATCATTATGTGTATCTAAAATGTAGCAATAAAATCTAATTAAAGAAAAATAACCCTTGTGCCCTGATTTAAAAAAAACAAGAAAGATTTATAACAGAGTGACATTCCTATCTGTAGAGCAGCTAAATCACCCAAGACCCTTCGCTTTCCTCGGCAGAACCAGCTAATGAAAAACAGCTACCCATTGTAGTGCACAGTGCAGATGGTTTCCTTAGAAACCTTGGTTGCCTGGTGGTTGTATAATGAAAGGACTTTGAGCATGAGAAATAACAACTGTATGTCTGAGTCATTCCATTTCATAAGTAGTAACTTAGTTTATAGGATCATAACAGTAGAAATGTCAGTACACTAAGATGTCAACAGGACATTAACTCAAGTAGAGGAAATAACGTCTTAAGCTAGCTGTACAACGTTAGCCCATAGAAAACATATTTGACACTCTTTTTATCTATTTGCTTATGTATTCATTTGTGGGTTTTTTCCCCCCTTAAAGATCTGAGATGGATAATTGGATAAAATTGCCAGGATGTCAGCATATCACAGGTTCAAAATGCGACTTCTTTCCACTTATAAATTTTTATGAAGAAATTAAATTTCGTGTAAGAGCAGAAGAAGAAAACAGCACTTCTTCATGGTATTACGTTGACCCATTTATACCATTTCAGAAAGGTAAGAAAAGGGGCTGACTCAATTATATTCTTCAATAAGTACTGCCAGCACAGTTCTCTTTTCAAGCCCATTAATTTAATCATGTAAAATCTCCTCTAACTTTCAAAAAGATTTCCTGAAGCCTATACCTCCTGCTGCTGTGGCTCCATATCTTCCTGGAAGAAGTGGTTCTCAGCCAGGCATGGTGGTACACGCCTATAATCCCAGCACTAGGGAGGCCAAGGCAGGAGGATCGCTGCAAGTTCAAGGCCAGCTTGAATTGCATAGTGAGACCTTGTCTCAAAAAAATAAAAGAAGAAGAAGTGGTTCTCAGAGTACTGTCCCCATGACCTTTCCAAGGAATCCACAAAGACAGGACTATTTACATCATTTTGAAATCATTCTGAGACTTTTATCCTGTCTCTCTTGGATGGTGGGATTTGCCAGAGGAGGCTGTTAGAGTCATGGGTCGCCAGCAACCTCCTAGTACAGGTGACTTCACAATCCTTTTCAGCTCAGTGCTCTGTAGCACCCATGTGGTCATCTTGACACTCTTCATCCTGCCCAGTGGAGCACAGCCCTTTCCTGGGTCTGCCCAGGTCATTCCCCAGTCAATTTCTCCTCTCCCCACTCTTAGTCGTTGAATGGCCGCAGGGTCCAGCTATTGAACGTCTTCTGTACTCACCCCACTGGTCATCTTAAGGCTGTGAGCTCTTGTCCCCAAGTCTGTCTGTGGCCCCATTCCTCCCTTCAACCTTCCCCCATGTATCACTGTCTCCATTCAGCATGTCGCCTTAGAAGTTGAAAGTCACCTTGTCTCACACTTAAGATGTAAAAGAGCCTCCTTTCCCCTCCACACTGTTGTCCTGCAGTCCTTGCGGTCTCTGATTACATCACTGTATTTGCTCAGGTCAGGAGCCCAGAGTCACCTCTGACTCCTCATTTCCACATTCTTGCATCTTGCCTGTCTGCTCGGCTCGGCTGGTTCTCTGTGAGCCATCTTCAAAGTATCTGAACATTCCTCGTTTGTGCTCTTTACTAAGCTGTTTTCATGCTTCACTTGATCTCTCTCTCTAAGAGTGGAGTATATTTATTGAGAAAAAGCTTCTGTCTGAGAGAGAAACCAAAAGGTTTCACTTGATTGCTTGCAAGTCTGACGCTGATCTTCACATCTTACCCAGGATGATCTTTCCAAAACCTGACTCGGATCATGACATCCTCAACCCGTCTCAGCCATCTGATGATTACAAGGATTCTGGCCTGTTTGCTACCTTTCTACGCTCTTTTTTACACACTGTCAGCCTTCCTAGCCCCTTCATTGTGTCTTGAAAATGTAAAGCCCATCATAGGGGCTTTGCATCTCACCCGCCTTGACCTAAGCAGCCTTTTTCCTATGTATTTGCACAGCTACCCTTCGCTTTGCTCAGGCCTCAGCTTGAATGTCTCTTCCTGGGAGGGTTTTTTCCTAACTTACCTAAAATAGCACTAGCTGCTATTGTTCATCCCTTTTTATTACTTTATTTTTCTTTATGGTACCCATGGCACCATATTTATTTTTCTTTCTGGCACGCGTAGCACCATATTTATTTGTTTATGTATTTGAGACTTTTTGCCATGTATTCCTCTGGAGTTCAAGATAATGAAATTTCTTCTTTTCCTATGCACCACTCACACTAATTATTTACGGAGAGCATGTTTGGACATGGTGCTGATAAAGCCATTGTTTCAATTTGTGCAGCTCGGCTTGGTCCGCCAGAAGTACGATTAGAAGCTGAAGATAAGGCAGTAATAATATACCTCTTCCGTCCTGGAAAAAGAGATGGTACTTCTATATGGGATATGGATGCTCTAAGCTTTGAATTCAGCTTAGTTTTCTGGGAAAACTCTTCACATGGTGAAGAAGTAAGCATTATTTTTTACCTTTTTTGATGTGGAGAAAAATGAAGTAAATGACCTCCAAACTTTGACTTTCCAGTTTTTAAAGACTGCTTTTTTTTATTACAGCAAGAGATCAAGACTAATTTTTACATAAGTAAAATGTATGACCTCTCAACAGAGACGACTTACTGTTTAAAAGCTAAAGCAAGACTATCTTGGAAAGTTAGTGCCTATAGTCCAGTGTATTGTATTAATACTACAGGTAAGGAGGACCATTTGCTTTAGATTGAGTAACCACGTATTGATAGCACGGATGCTCGTTACCCGTTTAATGACTTTTTAGACTTAGGGTTGCAATGTGGACTGTCGACCCACATTTGGACTTGTGCTGCAGGAACATGAGCAGCAATGTGGCCTTATGGTGGCTTCTTCTGTAGTACAATAGTGTAATTTTTGTGGATTATACTGTACAGTACAATTGTATAGTTTATGTCCTGTTACACATTACAGTACTGAATATAAGAGTTTCCTAAATAAAAACTCTCATCAGGTTGGGGTATCCTTTGACCGTTTCTTTGTTCTGAATGTTGTAATGTACATACTATCTAAAGTCCCTTATTTAATGACCTAGTCACACTAATGGAACTCAGTCATTAAGCAAGGATGTCTCTGTTCTATTTAATGTTGGCATTTCTCTTGCTGAGTCATGTTTGTATAATGATTGAATAAACAGTAAAATGAAAGCATTATGACAGCATTTATATAAGCAAAAAGTATGTGGGATTTTTGTCTCAAATAAATGGTAACAAAAATCAAGTCTATTTCAAATTAATTCAAATATTTTATAATGAAAAACATGTTTTTATTTGCTCAGAGTCCATAAAAAGGGGGAATGAGTTGCTAGTAGAATGATTAATCTTCCAAAAAGTATACCCCTTTAAAGGAAATGTTAAAATGCAAAAGCATCCTGATATATTTAGTTATTAATATCTTGCCAGCAATTACAACCAAGGGTAGAAGCAAGGGTCTGTTTATTATTTTTGTTATAAATTTAATATGCTTTATTTGTTAAAATCAGATAGTACCAAAGCATGTAAAGTTTTCCTATCATACAATCTTACTCCGAGTTCTCTTAGAGATGAGTACAACTAGCAGTTTGTATATATCCTTTGAGACTTTTAGGACATACATGAACACATACACAGATGGCAAGTTTCTTAAGTTCCGTTTTTACTAAATTAAAAAAGAGGCTCCTGCGGATATGTTTATCTTACACGTTGTGTGTTTAATGCAGTATGTTGAGAATGTCTTCTTGTAGTAGTGCATGCAGATCTGCCACCTTGTTTTAAATGACAACATATGTTGCACAGAGTAACTGTATACCCTAACTTAACTATTGCCTTGTAATGACAAAGTGTAAGTCAGCCTTTTATCATTTCATCTATGCTATCAAGAATTCCTGCCATATATACTATCACAAGAGTGAAAATGCATGCTTTTTGATGTTTTCTCTGACTTCTAGCTGAACATAAGCTGCTTCCACCAGAAAATGTAACATTTGGTGCTCGAAATCAGAGCTATGTCCTGACATGGGAATACAGAGATGTAAATGTGACCTTTCGAGCTCAGTGGCTCCAGTAAGTTCTTTTCCATCAGTCTTTTGCCCTGGATATTTTGATTGTGCTTTCACGCTATTTCAGCCACGTGCAACTCCTTGTACACAGTGACTGATTGAAAGACACGTGTCAATGTGTCACTTGAGAAGTGTGCACAGTGGTACAGTAGTACACAGTATTTCCGCCATGTGGACACCATTGACATGTATGGTTTTAAGAACACAGATGATGAAGAACAGTAAAATAATTAGGACAGGATGAGTTCTAAGTATTCGCTGCCTTATCTCCAATATAATTTTTATTTGTAAGTTTTTAATCATGACTATATCTAAAAATCTGCCTGCAATACTCCTAAAAATATAATAATTGTTTTTGCACACTGGTATGAGATATCTCTAGTACCCTACTCTGTCACATTCTGGAGCAATCACTGATTTCTTACCTGTTAGATGTATATGTCCTCTCTGCTGTAGGGTGAGTTTCCTGCAGGTGAGGGTACAGTTTCTGGCTTATTCTAAGTAATTAGCACATAGTTACTGAATCAGTGTGTTTGCTTGCTTGCTTGCTTATTTATTTACTTATTTAATTTTCTTAAAAGTGCCTTTTCAAAACTGACTCCTTGGGACAATTCAAATGAATGGAAACAAATACCTAACTGTGAAAATGTCAGAACTACATACTGTGTATTTCCTCAAAGTGTTTTCCAAAAAAAAGAGTACTATTTCCGAGTGCAAGCATCTGATGGAAATGACACATCTTTCTGGTCTAAAGAGAAAGCAGTTCAAACTGAAATGTACTGTAAGTCAAATTTGTTTTTTGTTTTTTACTTGAGATTATAATTCTCTGATTTATTGCAAGTTTTTTAAATTGTTATGCAATCTTTAATCAAATATGTCTAATTGCATTCTACGTCTTTACACATTGTTTCTAGCTACCATACTTCCTCCAGTCGTCTCCATGAAATCCACTAACGATTCACTGCATGTCTTTGTCAAAGCACCCAAGAAACAATTTGACACGTTCACTTATGAAATTATTTTGTGGGAAAACGCTTCACATACCGAAGTAAGAAGACAGCATAGTATAATTTTGTATTTTGGAATAGTACAAGTGTTATGGTTTGAGTCTGGATGTCCACCAAAGCCTCATACAGTCCAGGAGGCAGGCCTCTCCTTTGTGAATGACTCATGGTCCAAGTGCTGGGATCACGGGTGTGAATGCTACACCCAAGTAGGTGTGGCCTCTGTACAATATAAGGGACAGTCTTCTCTCTGTGCTTCTCCCCTTGTGCTGTTTTCTCCTGCCATGAACTGTTGCCTTCTGCCATGTGCCACTGTGCTGTGGAGACAACTCATTATAGACTGAAACCTCCACAAACTGTGAGCTAAATAAGTATTTTCTTCCTTACCTTTGGGTGTTTGGTATTTTGTCTCAGCAAGGGAAAAGGAACCAAGACAATAATTTTGTACTTAGCATTGTAATTCTGATTTGGGTAAGCAAAGCTTGAATTTACATTTGGAAGGGAATTTTTAAACTTTTAAGACAGTGTGATGAACCATGCAAGTGCAATATGAAGAGTGCTAGCATTTTTCCATGTTCTTCATGGTCAAGGTGTGCATCTGGGTCTCAGTGTGCTTTTAAAATACAGGTCCTGAGCCCAGTGCTTCTGTTTTGTTTTTGGTACCAGGGATCAAACTCAAAACTTGGGCTTGCCAGGCAGGCACTTACACCACTGAGTTAAATCCCCACCCAAAGCCCAATGCTTCTGAATCAAAACCATTTATAATGTAATTCCTAGGTATTTGCCCTAGGAAGCTGAGAAACTGGAATGGCAGGGGCCTGACCCACAGCCGCAGTGGAAGCTCCTCCAACCAATGCCTAGCCTTGTAAGAAAATTACTTTGAGCCACTAAAAGTTGGGGTAGTTGCATTGGACATTATACCAATTGCTGACCAATAAAGAGAGGAGCAATAATTGTCTTCATTGTGCAGATCAGGAAATGAGGCATCAGATAACTAAAAAACGTGTAGCAAGCCACACAGCTATAAGTGACACTTAATACAAGCAGTGTGGGGCCAAAACCCTGTTCTCAATCACTGTGTTTCAGAAGCAATTAAGTCAAACTAGCATGTGCTCATTAGAGTACAGTTATCCTAGGGATATGTCATTTTAGCAGCAGTATCTTTAACTTTTGACTTTGTTATAGTGAGTTGTTCAAAATAAACCTAACTACACAGCCAACTGCTTGGAAAAGGCCAACGGTAAATTGAATGTGAAAGAATTCAGAAAATAGATACCCTCTATCTGATTTCACAGTATGACTAAATTTTATCAATGATTTAATTATTCTGTAGAGAAAACTTGTATCAAAAAGATCTGACATTATTATCCCTGGCTTGAAACCACTGACACCGTATTGCATCAAAGCCAGAGTGCTCCTGCAGGACAAGTGGAATAAAACCAGCGTCTTCAGTGCTGTGGTGTGTGAGAAAACAAAGCCAGGTGAGGGTTTCTACAGCCCCTTTTACAAAAGGAGCAAGATGCAAGAAAAGTTGCAAATTAGATGTTTCCTCCTCACTACAAACTGTATGAATCAAAAGTAAACTTTTTTTTTTTTTTTTTTTTTGTCTTTTTCCTTTTTATTGTTACTGGGGATCGAACTCACGATTGCCTGCTTGCAAGGCAGGTGCTTATGCTGCTGAGCTAAATCCCCAGCCCCAAAAGTAAACTTTTTGCAAATAAGATACCGTAAAGCTTCAAGCTAAGTGCTTCAATTTAGAAATTGTTTGTTCATTTGTTTGTTTTGCTTTTTGGGGTGTTCTATTTTGGGGAGGTTGGTTTTTTGTTTTGTTTTGTTTTGTTTTGTTTGAGACAGAGTCCCTCTGTGTAGTTTAGGCTGACCTTGTACTCACAGCAGTCATCCAGCTTCAGCCTCCGGAGACTGGGGTTAGAGGCATGGGCCACCAAGCACAACCCGAAAATATTCTTAATGCTTTGTATTTTTTTTAATGCTTTGTATTTCATCTGGGATCTGTATCATTAATTTTCTTTCATAATTGCTCTTTATTTTGTAAAAATTCATTTTAATTTATTTGATATCTTTAATGATGTGGAAATGAAGTAGTTCTCTTACGAACTTTTTTTCATTGGAGTGGTTTAGTCTCTTGTATTTTATAGTTGCTGGAATTGACTGATCGAGCCTTACTCACAGAATATTTTTGAAAAGTTTGCTAGTTTAATGTAATAGATAGAACACTCACCTGTTAGGCTTTGTATATCAATTCTGTATTCTTCCCTCCAGATCTCTCAGTTTGGTGCCTAGGGTAAACTCAAGTGCCACTGTTGTATTCTCAGTGTTGAGAAATACACTTAAGGGTAATACGTAATAGGTTTTATGTTTCCTTTCATACAGCTATTCTTATGTTCATGCGTTTGCCAGGAAGCTGACATGTACTAAGACATGCACTAATGCTAAATGTCATCTTTGCCTTTTTAGGAGCTGCTGCTTCTATTCCATGGGTAATACCTGTAATTGTCATCCTACTGTTAGCCGTCATAGCGTTTTGTGTTATGAAACTCCTTTGGAAATGTTTCAACTATGTATTTTTTCCAGTATTTAAGCCTCCATGCAGTATTGAGGTTTGTCACTTTTTCTCTCTCTATAGCTCAGAAATAAGTTTGATTTCAGCAATATGTAAATCTTGGTACACAGAGAGTAATACAGATGGATTGGGTATTTTCCTCAGTTTCCATAAATTCACTTTAAGAACAGTAATTAATATAGCATGGAACAGTAAAGTTTGTTTTAAATTGCCTATTGTTCTGACACTTGGCTGCTGACGCGTTTGTTTTACATTTAATGTTTTTGTGATTCTTGATGATATGTCACAAAACTTAAGTCAGTCAGTGCTGGGGATTTAGCTCAGTGGCTCAACACTTGCCTGGTAAGCATGAGTTGCTGAGTTCGATCCCTGGTACCAAAAAAAAACAGCCTAAGTCACTCAGTGTAGAAAGTATATTCATTCCATGGATGAAACCACAGGAAGTAAAATAAAATCGGGAGTCTGACTACCTGACACATCAGTTTTTGCCAGGCCCTTCTATGAGATTAGCGTTGCCGAGCATTGATGAGCATGACGGTGCACACCTGTGATCCCAGCACTCAGGAGGCTGGGGCAAGAGAATACTGTGAGTTTGAGACCAGCCTGGGCTACCTACTGATTTCAAGGCCAGCCTGGAGTTTGTAGAGAGACCTTGTCTCCAGAAAAAAAGCACTGCCTGGTGAAGGCCTAACTGTGGAACCTTTGCCTGGGGGTACAGTTTGTTAGCCAGGGAGTTTCAGGTGTGCCTGGAGAGCACGGTAGTCGGAACCTCAGGCCCTGGAGCTAAGAGGCCTCTAGGTGAATTGTTGGAAAGCTGTAATATATTTACACTTATAAGGCTCTCAAAATACTTAGTAAATATTATTTTACTCTTTCATTCCTCAGTTTTTGAATATCATTCCTGAGTACTATACTAAACTAGCTAGTTATAAGAGCTAAACATTCTTGGTCAAGCAGGAAGAAAATGATTTCTGGGTTAGGTTGGGTTGGGTTGAGTTAGGTTGGGTCTTTTGAGACTGGGTCTCACTGTGCAGTCCAGGTTGGCCTCAAACTTACAGTGGTCTTCCTGCCTCAGCTTTCTGAGTGCTGAGATTATAGACGTGTGTCACAGTGCCCAGCTATTTCTGACCTGAGCTGCTTGTGGGTATCTGCGGACTGGCTACAACATTTTGTATTATTTCAAAATAAAATACCCCTGACTCACTCAGCGTCCTTACCTTTCCAGCCTCTGCCAGGCTGTCCCACACTGTGCCCTCGCAGCACCATGCACCTTTTGGGAGTGCTCTTTGGAGACTCACCAAAAAGGTTTTAAAATACATAGACTCAGCTGGCCTGGAGGTCCACACCTGTAATCCTTGCACTTAGGAGGCTGATGCAGGAGGAGTGTGTTTTAGTTCAAGGTCAGCCCGAGCTGAATAGCTCTCTCAAAAACAAATGAAAAAAAAGAGATGAATTCACTAATGATTTCCATCTAGACTTGCTGATGCCAATGTATGTTCTTAGCTGATTTTTTAATCTTTATGCCAAAAGATATGTTTTCTGAATGACAGGCATAAGAGAATAATGCTATTAGAACCAGAAATCTATTTAATATATTATAGTAAATAATCTTTTCTGTTCCTTTCCCTTTTTAAATTAGCATTTCTCTGAACAGCCATTTGGGAATCTTCTGCTTTCTACTTCTGAGGAACAAACTGAAAAATGTTTCATAATAGAGAATACACAAAGTGTTATCATAGTAGAGGAACCTGAGGAGACTGATGAGGACTACAGGAAGTACAGTTCCCAGAGCAGCCAAGATTCAGGAAACTATTCAAATGAAGATGAAAGTCTGGGAAATCAGATCAGCGAAGCGCTTTTGCAGCTGAAACCCCAAGCTCTCAGTTGCCCCGGGGAGCTCGTCCTGGGCCTGAGCTCTCTAGGACTACACAGCAGCTGATCACTTGTGGGAAAAGGAGGACCCGCTTCAGGTCCCAGTTCCTGACCAGGCAGTCAAGCACTCATCTAGCAATTTGGTCAGTGCCAAGCACAGTCACCGTCCTGCCAGTGATGGCTTCGACTCACTGTGCTGCATTCTGTGGCTGCGAAGTGTGTGTGGGCTCCCCCGGCTAGCTGTCACTCAGCTGCCGCTCTGCTGTGTTCTCCATTCCAAGCCTGGGTGTCACTTGCAGGAGATACTTAGGACATGTGGTCCTTCATTAACATTTTGGTGTGCCCCTGAGAAATGAGTTGATAAGAATCGGAATACTGTTATCAATTTGGTTTTCTGCAGAGTAGCCACAGATGCTTGAAAAATCTAGAGCTGGACTCAAGTGCCAGAGTGCTTTAATAGTGTGCACAGAGGCATAGGTTCAATCCCCGTTTCTGTGGGGAAAATTATATATTTAAAAAAATATGTATGTATGTACATATGTATGTATTTCCCCAAAAAACAGGCTGGGACCTGTAAAGCAGCCTCCCCTGTTCTTCCGAAGTTGGGCGTTTGTGGCAGTGTCCTGCGGCCCTGTGACTGCCTGACAGAGGCTATGTTGCGTTCCTAGAGTGGCAGGTCTGTGAGAGACCATGGGCCCCGCTTTGTCACCCTGGTGACGCCAGCACATGCTATGGGGCTACTGCACCCAGAAGGTGCTCAGAAAGTCAAGGTGAGTAAGTGGGATCAGGGTGGCACAGGTGTCCATTTCTGACAATGTGTGTTTGTGTGCTTGGATTACTGAAGGACACAGCCGTGTTTTCAGTGTTTCTGTGCAACATATCTATGTCTTTTTGTGTTTTTGTCTTAAATTTTTACTGTTGTAAACAATTTTTATAATAAACACTAGACCTAAAATTCTTCAGTTTGGGTGCATTTTTCTTTATTATTCTTTTTTTATTTTAAAGAGATTAAAACAAAACAAAAATGATATAAGATTTCAAAACAAGATGATAGGAAATTAACTGTTGTCACTATATTATCTTCAAAGTAGCTGGTTGCTCAGATTACAAGATACAGGCATGCAAAAAAGATCAAACAGTACAAGCACTCAGTTTCTTTTTATGAACTAACAGAATTAGCACAATTATCTTAGCTATCGTGTATAGAAGGGTGTATATATATATATATTTTTTTCCCCCCTCCTGTTTATTTTTCCCCATCCCAGTTCTTTCCTTTCAAGCAGTTTCTTTTCCTTTCACAATAGCTGTTGTACCTTTTGGATGTCATTCACTCTTTGTTTCTTACACCACGGAGACAATACAGTGTTTACACACCTGAGTCTGATTTATTTCACTTACGAGTATAGAATCTGGTTGCATCCATTTATCTATAAAAGTCTCAAATTTATGTTTATAGCTGAGTAGTACTCCACTGTATAAAAAAACCACATCTTTTTTTAGCCATTCTTCAGTTGATGGACATTTAGGTTGTTTCCAAGATTTACCTGTTACAGATTGTGCTGCTATAAACGTAGGTGCACATATATTGCTCTGGTAAGATGTTTTTAATTCTGGGAAAATACTCAGAAGGGGAATAACTGGGCTGAATGGAACCTCTAATCGTCGTTTTTTGAGGAATCTCCACACTGATTCCCACAGTGGTTGCACCAGTCTACACTCCCACCAACAATGGCAAAGGGTTCTTTTTTTCCCCACAGCCCTGCCGGCATTTGTTATTGATTCATTTCTTGATGGCCATTCTTTCTGGAGTGAGGTAGACTCTCAGTGTTTTTAATTTGCATTTCTCAAGTAATCAATGACTTTGAATATTTTTTCATATATTTGTTTGCCATTTGTATTTCTTAATCTGAAAAGTGTGTCTTCATCTCAGATGCCCATTTTTGGATTGGGTCTTTGAATTTTGGGGGCCTGATTTTTTTTTAAATCTTTATTTGTTCTAGATAGAAGTCCTTTGAGGGATAGTTGACCTATATTTTTTTCCCAATTTGTGAGTTTTCACTCTGTTGGTGATTTCTTTTGACATGCAAAAACTTTCTAGTAAGATGAGATCCCAGCTGTTGATTCTGTGATGTACTTCCCATGCAGTTTGGTTTTTGTTCATGAACTCTCTGCCTACCCCAAGGCTTCAAGATTTCTACCTACTTCGTCTTTCAGCAGATTTAGTGTTTCTGTTTTAATGCTTCAGTCTTTGATCCATTTTGACTTCAGTGCATGATGATAGACATGGGTGTAGTTTTAGTCTTCAGCATGTGGAAAGCCAGTGTTTCCATAGGTGTGTTTTATCATTTCACTTGAACCTAATTTTTATATGCCAAAAATGCTTCGTGGAGCTGTTGCCTTTAAAAGATATTCATGAAGCCAGGCGTGAAGATGTGTGTCTGTTACCACAGCATTTGAGAGGCTGAGGAAAGAAGATAGCCTTTGAGGCCAGCCTGAATTACATAGCCAGACGTTTCAAAAAGCCAAAAACAGATACTTCAAAGATAGTGAAGTGGTGGAGAGCCGCAATCGACCTCTCCAACATTCAGAGTCCAGACACTCCAGTATAGCAACTTGGGGAAAAGAAGGAGGGTGGGACCCTGATACCCAGCAAAGATCTCAAAGGAGAACTGGAGCCCTTGGGGAAAAGAGGGAGATGGTGAATAGTGCTTTCTCCTTGACTCGCTGTGAGAGGTTCGAATCTACAGAGGCACAGTTGATAGTCCGTGACTCCAGGGAGAGAAGCACCAGTGGAATGGAGCAATGGGCTGCACAGCTGATGAGGGACTCCAGTTCAAATATCCCCAGGAGAGGGTGATTGGCTGGACCTTATTTGGGGGTGAGGACACCTGAGCCTGGATCTCAGACCAGCCGTGGTGTGGCTTCATCGTCTGTCAAGGTGAGGCACACACTTGGGAGATAAGCAGGATGGGGTAGTTGAAATCAAACTGGCAAAAACACACCCAGCGTGTTGTGGGCTGGACAACTTGGGTCCCAGCCTCACAGTGCAGACCTGGATCAGCCTGAATTCTATGGAGTCCAAACCCAGGACTTATCTGCAGGGTTGCTGAGGTCATTTAAGATGGATCTGGGCTTTCTCATTTGTCTACCAGTGACAGCAGAGACACACTGGGAAGTGGAGATTACCACAAAACTACACTCCAGAAGATAACCCAAGCTGAGAATCAAAGAAATTCCTCACTTTCCCTTTTTTCTCTTTGCTTTTTTTTCTGATTGTTTGTTTTTTCATAAGTGTGACAATTGTTGTTAGTTTTTTGGTTTTTTCTTGTTTTTGTTTCTTCTTCCTTCCTCTCCCACCTTCTCCGCCAGTTTCCCAGGGTAATCTTCTGTCCTTCAGCTTAGTTTCTAGTCTCTTTTTCTTTTATTTTTTTTCTCTCTTCTCTCTTCTTAAAATTCTCCCCCTGAGGGCAAAGTCACTCTATTGAGGGGATATTTACTATGTAAAATTTTCTGATTTGTTTTACATTTTGTTATATAAATAAAGATCATGTTCATGTGGTTAACCGTGGCAAATTAATAATTATTACAGTGTGTCCTTTTGTAGTCTATGCTGGGTGATACTGTTGTTACTGATTGTACTACTTCATCTAATGTAACAAAGTTGTGATCAGTTGTTCACCCTTGCATGCCAATACCAAAATTGTCTGAAGGTCATAAAAAAATACCATAATTTAGTACCAAGGAACTGGATGCTAGGCCCTAGTAAATTGAAGCAACTCCCTAGTAAATTGAAGAGGTAGGATCTTAGGACTGACTCAAAAGCTAAAAGCCAGCTACACATAGAAGACACATCTGAGAAGTAGTCGTTTCCTAAGGAGGTCTCGATACTAGTGATAAAGCTACCTCCATAAGCAGTTTACAAGCATTGATGCAGAAAATAAAATATAAAAAAATTTTTGGAGGGGGTAAAACACAGAAGCAAGCTGGAACCCCAGACTTCCGTATTGCCCAAGTCAAATCCAGGGAGCAGTGAGGTGGAAGAAATTACAGAAGACTTCTCAGCACAAACCCTTAAGGAGAGCTTGGAGTAAAATACTTCAAGCCCTAAAACAGCCTCTAACCCAATTTGATATATGCCACAAGACTATGTTTTAAAACTAATGGAGAAATAAAATACTTAACATGATCAAGAAAATCTGAAGAAATTCATGGCCATCCAACCAGCACTCTAAAAAGTGTAAAAGGATATTCTACAAAGGGACCACAAAAACAGCCAATAGATGAACCCACCAACAAGGCAACCAATTAGAGTGGAGAAAACAGGAAAATAACATGACAAGTTAACATATCAAGGTAACCATTTTCTGTGGCTGCTGAGACAAAATATTTGATCCCCAAAATGAAGGCAGGAAAGGTTTATGTAGCTTAAGTTTGTGGAGGTTTCAGTCCATACTCAGCTGGCTCCAAGGCATGGTGACATGGCTGAGGGTCAACTGTTCATGGCTGCTATGGATACCAGAAATGACCAGAGCAAAAGGGAGAAGCAACAGGCTATCTGCCCCAGGGCAGGTGCAGCACTCACACTGCAAATCCCAGCACTAGACAGTGAACCAATCACAAATGCTAGATTTCAGCCACCTTGGAGACAACTGCCCCCATGACCACACGAGGCTTTAGGGGGACATCCAGACACAAACCATAACACAAGGATATCAATATGTACCAGTTATATCCATGAATGTAAATCATCTAACTCACCAAAAGAAACAGGTACAGGCTCAAGAAACAAGATCTAATAATACACTGCATATAAGAAATACATCTAACTAAAAAAGTCAAAGGAAGGAAAGCAATTTTCCATGCAACAGAACCCCCACCCAAAAGGGAGAGGCAGATTGCACACAAAATCCTTCCTGGAAGCAGTCATTACACTGATACCAAACCAGAAAACAATCTGACCAAAAAAGAGAACTAGGCCAGTCTCTAATGAACATAGAAGCAAAACTCCTCAATAAGATTGTGGCAAACAATGCAGCAAATCATCAAGAATATTACACGATGACCAAGAAGGATTCATATCAGGGATGTAGGGATGGTTCAACGTATACAAACCAGTGCATGTAATACACCACATTAACAGAGCCAAGGATAAAAACCATATGATAATCTTAACAGACACAGGAAAAGCATTCGACAAAGACCAACATCTATTCTTGATAATAAAAGAAACTACCTAAAATTATAATAGAAGGTCTTTATCACAATCTGATAAAAGCCATCCTATGGCAAACCAACAGCCAACATCATACTAAATGGTCAAAAACTGAAAGCTTTCACTCTAAAATGAATAAGACAAGGATGTCCACTATCACCACTTGTATACAATATATTCTGGAAACATTAGCCAGAACAATTAACTGACTAAGAAAGAAAAAGAAGTTAAATTATTATTTGAGGATGACATGATACTTCACATTGAAGACCCCAAAAACTTCACCAGAAGACTCCTAGATTTTTTTTTTTTTTTTGTCTTTTTCATTTTTACCGGTACCGGGGATTGAACTCACGACTACCTGCTTGCAAGGCAGGCACTTATGCCGCTGAGCTAAATCCCCAGCCAAGACTCCTAGATTTAATAACCAAATTCAGTAGCATAGCAGGATACAAAGTCAACACTCAAAAATCAGTGGCATTCCTTTATACAAATAATTCACTGAGACCAAAATTAGGAAAACAATACCTATCACTGTAGCACCAAGAAAACTGAATACTTTAGGAATCAATCAAATAAAGGAATCAAAAGATCTTAGCACTGAAAACTAGTATTCTGAAAAAGGAAATTGAAGAGGATATCAGAAAATGGAAAGATATTCCTTGATCTTGAGTAGTAAGAATGGCCATACTACCATAACTGTTATACAGATTTAGTACAGTTCCAATTAAAATACCAAAATACCATACCTTGCAAAACTAGGGAAGCAATCCTAAATTCATTTGAAACAAAAGAGACCTAGAATAGCAAAAGCAATTCTGGGCCATGAAGGTAAAGCAGGGGGCATCATAATCCCTTATTTGAAATTATACTACAAAGTTACTGTGATTTAAAAAACAAACCAAAACAAAATAGGATAGTACTGGCAAAAAAAAAAAAAAAAAAAAACCAGACCTGAGGATCCATGGAACAGAATAGAAGATGCAGAAACAGCTCCACACTTGGCCACTTTACATTTGACAAAAATACCAAACACTTTCACTGGAAGAAAGATAGCCTACTTAATAAATGTTGCTGATAAAACTGGTTTTCTACATGCCAGAGATTAAACTTAGACCCATATCTCTCGTTTTGTACTAAACTAAAATCAAAATGGATCAAAGATCTAAATATTAGAAAAGAAACACTAAATCTGCTGAAAGATATAAACTCGGTAAAACCCTAGAAGACGTAGGTAGACAGACTATATGCACAAAGCCATGATTGCACAGGCACTACTACAAAGAATTCACAACTGGGATTTCTTCATGTTAAAAGGCTTTTGCACAACAAAAGAAAGCACCAACAGTGTGAAGAGACAACCCCCAGAATGAGGAAAAAATTTTACCAGCTATTCCTCAGACAAAGAACTAATATTTAGAATATACAAGAAACAAACAAAAAAATCAGATTCCCTAAATATAAAGACCCAGTCCACAAATGGGCATCTGAATGAGTAGACACCTCTCAGGTGAAGAAGCACAAACAACAAATAAATATACGAAAAAATGTTCAACATCACTGGTTAGTTGAGAAGTGCAAATTAAAACAACACTGAGATTCCTTCTCACTCCACAGTGACTATTAACAAGAAATCATTGAATAACAGCTGTCGAGGCTGTAGGGACAATCTCTATCCATGTTGATGGGAGAGTAAATTAATACAACCAACATGCAAACCAGTGTGGAGATTCCTCAGAACTAAAGCTTGAGGTTTCATTTGACCCAGCTGTTCCCCTTCTCGCTCTCTTCCCTGAAGAGTTAAAAGCATCATAGTGATTCATGCACACCCATGTCTACAGCAGTACAATCTGTAATAGCTAAATCTTAGAAACAACCCAAATGCCCATCAAAGGTAAATGGATAAAAAAGATGTGATTTTTTTATATACAATGAAGCACTACTCTGCAATAAAGAAAGATAAACTTGAGATATTTCTGGGTTAATTCACCTTGAGATCACACTTCTAAGTGAAATAAATCAGACACACATTTTTAAAAAACATAAATTAATATGGTACTCATAGCAGAGGGCAGACGCCTATAAAAATGCTTGAGTGCCCAGCACTCTTCCCTTACTGTCTTCAGAGCCCGTGCAGAAACTGTCTGCTTGCCTTTTTCCTACCCACCGCGAGGACAGATTCACTAATTAAGAGCTTGCAGGGATATTGCATGTTCCATGGACTAACTGCTTTCCTTTTACAGTGTTTCTATTTATTCTGAGGAGGTTCCTTCCTCTGTCTCACAGTTAGATAGATCCTCTCTCTTTTCTCCCCAATTCCTTCTCTTTCTCTCCCCATATATATATGTGTGTGTATATGCCACAGTTCGCTTAATTCCACAATTTGGGGCACAGAATTCATTCCACAATTGCTACCAAATTATGAGAATTAGTTCATAAACCCAGGTATCACTGTATATGTGGGTTTTTTAAAGACAGGGTCTCCTTGACCCTGGCCTTAAACTTGCTAAATAGCCCAAGGCTGGCCTCAGTCTCACAGTGGCTCCTGAGTGCCAGGATTTCAGATGTACAGCGCCACACCCAGATCCCTACCTGTCTCTGAGTTCAACTCAAAAGCTGAGCATACTTTGTGTGGAGATGAGACCCCTTTTATACTTTTAGTTTCAATAGTCTTCACAAGGAAGAAAATAATAAAGTCATGCCTGATGTCCAAGAAATGCCTGTTACTTACCAACAGTGACGAATAGCAATGACATCCAGTTTTGTTCTTACAACATTTTTCCTAAAAAAAAATAAAAATTTAAAAATTAAAAAATTAAACAACATTTTTCCTGCGCTTAGTGTGGTAACAGAATTGCTGGTCTCAAGGGCAGCATAAATATATGTGAATATTTACGGTGAGATCTTTACACTGATGGAAAATAGCAGCATCTTCTTTCACGTCAGAGGAACAAACAAGAAGACAGTCTGACATCTTCCATACAAGGGAAAGGCCGCTGTCTGCCCTGTCTATGAATTTTCTCTCTACCTCGATTCCAGCAGAAGACATCTTCTCGGTGGAGAAGTAATTAACAATGAGTGTGAAGAAAGGAAGGTGCGCAGAGCAGACCCTTTGGCTTGGGAGGAGAAAGGGAATGGGAAGGATCACTGCTCAGCTGGGTAACACCGAACTTACTTCTCACAGAGACGCACTCCTTCACCTCCCAAGGTTTCCTGGCTCCCTATAGAGCAGGGAGCTGAGCGGAAATGAAGAAAGAAGGCAGATCAGTTTTCCTGTCTCTAGTACGAAGTTTATTTTGCCAAAGTTAGTCCTTAGACACAGGAGAAAGGACGTGATGCAAAAAACAAGAAGCATGATGCACTTTTGATTACTGTCTGCTCAAATTTTAGAATGCTTGGAATGTTGTGAAATTTTGCTTACACAAATAAAAAGTGATGGCTTTTGCAACAGAAAGGCGGGCGTCATCCACTCTAGAATCATCCGGTTAGCTTCCCCACACCCACACGCAGACGTCACCTCACCCATCTGACCAGCACGACTGTCCAGTGTACTCCCCGAGGAGCGCCTCACACCGCTTTGGTCCTTTCCCACACCATTTGGCGTAAGCACCTCCCGCTGAGCTCCCGGAAAACAAGCACTATTTTTCATTATTCAAGGACGCCCCTTGCCACGTGTGTAATGCACATTAGCGGCAGCGCTGAAGGTCTGCACCTTGACCAGCTTCACCACTGAGGGGAACGAGAGTCATCCTGCGGGGGCTCACAACCACCAGGCATTTCAGAAGCAGATTCCTGGCCAACCATAGCGGTATACACCTGTAATCTTCGCACTGTGGGAGGCTGAGGCAGGAGGGTAGCAAGCTCAAGCCCCACCAGGACAACTGAGTGAAACCTTGTCTCAGAGTTAAGACAGCGATTGTAGCTCAACATCAAGGACTTGGGCTCAAATCGATTCTTAAATTGGTGTCATGTGCCATGATTTAGATTTAGCAAGTAAAGATACGAATAGTCAGGTAAATTTGAATTTCACTAGACAATTTTTAAGTGCTCAAGAGTTATGTCCCAAATATTTGTTAGACACACCTACTTTAAAACATTTATTATACAATACTTTGAAAACACTAGCTTTTTTTTTTGTACGAGGGATGGAACTCACAACCTCATGCTTGCCAGGCAGGCGCTTAACACCACAGAGCTAAATCCCCAGCCCAACAGTAGGATTTTTTTATACAGAAATGACTTGGACTTTTAAAATATGGAATACATCATTCCCTCTTTAAGTCTTCTAAATTATGTCTACCAGATAAACATGGGTGTTATCTATGTGCTTCATCTATAATTTCAGATAAATAACAGATACATTTTTAGTATAATCATGTCCTACGCAATATTTGGGACATACCATTTATTTATTTGAAAAGTACATGTGGTGGCTGTAATCCCAGCACTAGGGAGGCTGAGGCAGAAGGACTGCCAGGAGTTCAGTGCCAGCGAAGCACACAGTGAGACCTTGTCTCCCCACCAAAAAAAAAAAAAAAAAAAATACTGCCGTGGGGAAAATGCTCCTGGACCCTTCAAATTCCCAATCTAACATGAATAATACCTTGTACATAAGTTTATATTACCTACATGATGCAACTCACATTTACAATTTAAAACATGATTAAGAGTCAATATTGTAAATGTCATATAGCCTGAAAGTAAATCCTGTAATTCTGTCCTATAGATAGTGAGGTCAGGAGCACCTGAATGCCAGGGTGCAGGCCTATCTGAGAAGTCTGGTTCTCGCCATGCCTGCCTGGCTCTGATCACAAGTTGTGTCACATTGCAGCTACTTGTGGGTTTTGTTTGTTTGTTTGTTTGTTGTTGTTTGTCTTTTTGAGAGAGAGTTTCACTATGCAATTCAGGTTGGCCTTGAACTCACTTTGCAGCCCAGGATGGCCTCCGACTCCCAGCGATCCTCCTGCCTCAGCCTCCATACTGCTGGGATTACAGACGTGCGCACCACACCCGGCCTGCAGCCTGCCTTCATGCCTGCCTTCTCTCCCAAGGCACAAGAGCTGGCTGAGGCCAGGCATCCTGCTTACTCATCTGCACCCTCAAGCCAGGTGCTGCCTGACCCGTGTGAGTGGCTGCCTGGTAAAGGGTCTGTAAAAGTGAAATGGAATCACTGTTTTCTTCTGAGTGTTTTCCTTCGGATAAACCTCCAAGAGCTGGTCAAAAGTCAGGAGTATTTTCAGCCTCTGATTCTACCGCATCACATTTGTGTATATTCTGTTTTGCCTACCTGACCCTGCCCGGCTTTCACCTGTCTTTCCCCTCCTCAGCACCTAAAGAACTCTGTGCATTTCCCCTGCTCTGCTTTCTTCCATCTCAGCCACTGACCACATTTAGTCTTTGACTCAGCCCAGGAGCCCCTGAGGTGTCTTTTCTGCTTCCTTCTTCCTATTCTCCATGCAGCCCTCACCAGGCCCAGCCCATTCCACCTGCTGCATAGCTCTTGGACTCTGTGCTTCTGCCCCATGGTCCTGCCCTGCCTAAGCTGCCATCTTTCCTCCCTGGGTGGCCACACGCCTTCCTCTCTGGCCTTCTCCACCTCATTCTCCTCACAGTACAGTGCGGTCACTGAGAGTCACATCTGAACCCTGGCTACATTGCTTTGCTGCACCCTGCTTCCTCCAAGCCTCGCCTTCCTCAGCTGGTTATTTCTGAACTTGCTCGTGTTTCTTGGAGGCAGGAGGTAGCTAGGAATACAACTGAAGAAGGAAAAAGGGTCCATTTGCCTTAAAGATCACTTTTGGGCTAGATCTGACATACAAGGTAACCAAGGAAACTGCTGGGCAGAAAGAGAGGGTCCACCTTCGAGCCTGCTTTCTGAGACCAGATCCACCTTCTAAATTAAACAGCCAGATCCAGGATGCCCAGGTCTAAACACAAAGGGTAAAGATAACCAGGTAACTTAGCATATGTCAACAAGTCCCAGGGCATGTATCCAGTGATCTTCTGCAGCCCTTGGTAAACCCCAAAGCTAATTACCGTGTCATGGACTATGCAGATTTGACCACCCCAGAGTGGCACTGTGAATGCCATGAGAGTTCCTGCAGGGGCCATGAAAGGTCAAGAGCTCCACTACCCGAAGGAAGGGCTGAGTCTGGTTGCTCATGGGCAAGAGTCAAACCCCAGAAACCCTCGATCCCAGCACAACACCAAGCCCCTTGGGGCTGTGAGCTATTCTCAGTGGGCAGCTCCCACTCTGTGGATCTTGTTTTCTGTCTTTCAAATAAACCACTGATCCAGCTGCTACTCTTGAGCGACCTGCTCAGTGCTTTGCTTAGGACAAGATCCTGGACAAGACACCTAAGCCAGGCTTACCCTGACCTCATGCTTTTACCACCCTGGATTCCCAGGCACATTCTTGCCTGGAATATTTTGTTGCCATTTGCCCTTGGCTGAGTTCCCAACTTCAATGTCAGTTCTTCAGAGATGTCCCTGACCCTGCTGGCAGCCCAGCCTTGCCCATATCAGGTCTCCTGCTGTCCCCTCCCGAATCACTCCACCCTTTGTGTCATATTTGTTTAGTGACTTCCTCCCTACTAAATGGTTGGCTCCAAAAAGCAAGAAGTGAATGGCTCTTGTTGATTAGAGTGGCCCCAGGACTCAGCCGGGGGCCTGGCGGGGCCTGGCGGAGGGCTGTAGAACACACTATTTTCAGTGCGTGTTTTAAATGAATAAATGAGTCCCATGCCTTTTAGTCCCAAGGATCAGCTCCCACCTTGGCAAATGGCTTGGAGCCCAGGATTGAAATTGGAAAATCAGAAAACAAAGAGGTCTGGAGAGCGAGTGTGTCAGTGGACCTCTGGGAACCTGCCCGAGGTGTGCAGCATTCCCCAGTGACCACCCACTACAGGGTGGGCACTGCAGTACCAGGCGACACCCTACTAAACCCACCAGTGTCACAGCTGCCACTGTGGAAAATATGTGAGCCCAGCAGTGTAGGCTTCTCCTGCCAAGACTAATTCCTCAACCTCTGACATCCTTGGCGAAGCACAGCCATTCACAGTAGCCAGTCGCTGGCCCACTTTCACCCTGGAGGGACACAGTGCATTTTCCCCACCACTGATACCACTTCCTGCGTGCCTGGCAGGGCCATAAAGTGCAGGGGACCACCTTACCGTGTCAGTATAGCCAAGCGGAAGCGCCATTTCCCCCAGTTTCCTACCCAGGGTGGTTCCAGGTAGGTGCTCGCCTCAAGAACAGTTCACGCAGGACCCAGGGAGCCAAGCCTCGCTCCTCCTCCGACGGCTAGGGCACCTCCGCTCCTCCCACTCCTCCCTCCCCGTCCCCCTCCTCCTTCGGGGACTCCCCTCAGGGTGTCACCCCCTGCCCTCTCTGCGGGGTTGAGATATGCCTGCCAGATGATGAAGTCAGTAGCCTGAGGGACAACCACAACCGTACTCTAGTAAACTTGGCTGATGGAGGCACAGGGAAGATGCCAGAGAATCCCACGGAGCGGCTGCTGAGTTGCAACACCCCTCAAAGGCTGGTCTCCCTCGTCAACCCTCCCCACGAGTCTCCCCCTCCTATTCCTACCCCTCCAATCCCTCCTCCCCCTCCCCCTCCTCCCCCTCCCCCTCCTCCCCCTCCTCCTCCCCCTCCCCCTCCTCCCCCTCCGACAAGACCCTTCATATGGTCTTTTAAGATGCCTTTGAGACAGTTGTAAGCTGAAACTGACAATGCCTGCACAGCTTCTGGTTTTTCTCACCACTCCTGCAGCCGTTGCCCCTCCCTGCCGGATCCAGATATGAAACTCAAGGGACACCTCGCTCACAGTTGCTCCCTGGCCAGATACATCTGCATAGAGTCATTTCTACTCCTCAAGATGCAGTCAGCTGCCCCAGGACTCTGCCGAGGCGCAGGTCTCCAACGCGCTGGAGTGCAAGCTTTGTTACAATCGGTGCACCCTGGAGCAGAGGAAGCCCTAAGCGCCTGAGTGTTGTCACCGGGTCTGTACCAAATGCCTCTACAGGATCATAGGCTTCAGGAACTCCCCACAGGGTGTCATCGGCTGCCCTCTCTGCAGATTTGAGCCATGCCTGCCAGCCGATGAAGTCAGTAGCCTGCGGGACAATCACAACAACGTCTTGGCAAACTGGGCTGGTGGAGGCAAAGGGAAGAAGTGCCTGCCGGAGACCCCCACCGAGCTGGGCTGACCCCCAAGAGGCTGGCCTCCCTCATCAGCCCTTCCCAGGGCTCTTCCACCTGCCAGGTGATAACCACCAGTCATGCAGGAGGCGCAGCCAGAGAGCTCCGCTCCCCTGGTTGAATTTTATAGGCCTGCAAGCTTTGACTCTGTCACCACCTTGCCCCGGCACCTGGGCTGTGGAACTGCACCTCCCTACTGCTTCGGACCTCCATCCCGCTGTCTGCTGTGCTCCAGCTCCTTACTCTCCGGGATCTATTTACCAGTGTCTGAGAAGGTCGCCTCAGGTTGTCTCTGTCACCCTCCTCCCTTTGAGCTTCGTCATCCTCATGGTGTATGGTTTTTGCCAGTGCATTTGTCACGAATTTCTGGACTGTAAGCTGTTTCCTTCTTAATCAATATGCAAATACAGAATTTGACACAAGTTGCTGTGTTTGAAGTTAGGTAATTTATAGAAGTTACTTTCTTTTATACTCTTTATGATTAGCATCCATGGCATCAAGAAAAGCTAGGGCCATATGTTTCTAGTCTTTCCTCCCAGGTGTTGGCTCGCTGATACTTTTTTTTTTTTTTATCGGTACCAGGGTTCGAACTCAGGACTGCCTGCTTGCAAGGCAGGTGCTTATGCTGCTAAGCTAAATCTCGCTGATACTTAAGAGCTAGTGAAGAAGCGGAGCTGACAGCCTGAGACTTCCTTCAGCAGGGTGGGGATTTCCCACCGTCCCTCCAGATGGCCCCAGAGTGAGGAGCAGAGGTGTCTGGGCAGATTAGGGTCTAGCTGGTTTCTCCTGTGCCAGCCAGAGAGAGTCTACATGGGGGACAGACACAGCCTGACCTTGCTGTCTGTGTCCCCACACTCGGGGGCCCCGATTTTTTCAGCTGCTTTCTCTCTTAAGGTAATGTCACTCTGAGGTCTGTCACTCTGAGCTCCACAGAGACCCTTCCCTGTGGGTGTCCGCCTCTGCCAGAGGGACACTAAGCCTGTTTCCTTGGGCAGTCTCACTGAATTCCTGTTTTGTTACATCCCTAAAGAGTACAGAAAACACTGAAGAATTTGCATTAAAATAGGCTTCATGGCAGAAGAATACCGTTTGTCTTCCTTCTGTTTATTTCCCTCTCTCCTTGGGCTTCTCTGAGAAGAATGAAAGGTCAGACTTCCTGTAGAGCAGTTACTGTTCTGGGAACTTCCATTTGAGTCTTTCCTTAGAACTTCTTGGTTTTGCTTTGTTTTTAACTCACTCCCTCAGTCAGCCCCCCATCCCAACCAAGGCTCCATTTAAGTTAGCTGCTGTAAATTCCTAGTTTAAAATATTTTATTAGGATTGTGGCATTGAAACCCCAGAAACAATTAGCAAGACACTGCTGCTGATGGTTTGAAGTTCTGAGTACCTAAGTTTTTTGTTGTATTTTGTTGAGTTATGTGCAAAACGGTGTGTCTGCACGGAAAGAAGTCCAGGCAAAGCAGTGGTCGGGGCCAGGCGAAATTGGCACCCTGCTTGAAAGGACCCTTCAAGCATGAAAAGTGAAGGGAGCAGAGTGTAATTTTAGCTGACTGTTACCCTTGCTGACATTCAGTCAGTTTGGGAATAGATCGAAGTTCTTAATTTTATTTCACATAAAAGCATAAGCTATGTGACTTAAGCCATCTTTTTGGTATGTGGGGGAAGTTGAATGTATATACTTACAAGAAGAAATTGTCTGGGGCTGGGGATTTAGATCAATGGCATAAGCACCTGCCTTGCAAGCAGGTGGTCATGAATTCGATCTCTGATACCGATAAATGGATTTAAAAAAAAAAGAAATTGTCTATCAGATTTTAGCTTTGGAAGAATAGAACGTTCACAGAAACTAGGGGGAAAATTTCTTTAGTGTCTAAAACCTGTTACTAATTATTAACATTAAAATATTTGTAAATCTTAGAAAAGGGCATCACTGAGGGCATTTTAAATTGGTTGTAATAAAGTATTTGTTCTGGCCCAGTTACGGTGGGCCAGTTCCTATCTCCTTATGGAGGAGAAATTGGTATTTATCTTGAATAGCAGTTTGATTTTATTTGTATAACTATCAACTTTGATAGTATGCATGCCATGGTAAGTGAGAGGAGAAAGTTTATGTGGGATATGGCCCACCAAATTCAAGCCCCCAAGATACAACTAACCATGTTTATGAGTCCATAAAATCTAGTTTTAGTAGCACTGTGAATGCAGTTTCCAGAGATCCATCTGTGCTTTGAGGAAATATAATGTTTAGGAATGTTCTGTGGTTTGAATTTATATATTTATAAAATCTTTCTTTAAAAAGTGCCTTATTTTGTCTGAAATTTGTAACTGAGTAAGTTGGTGAGCTATGTGAAAAGCTATGTGATGGGATTTCTAGAAAGCTCTGGGTATGAGTGCCGTGTGTTTTACTTATTTGTATAAAGTGTGCAGTGCTGTGTATCTGTGTACCACAGTGGTCTTTCCCTTTGATTTCTAGTAAGTTGGCTTGGTTTTAAAGAGTTCCAAGTGTATGACAACAATAACAAAAAAATCCTCTTTATGCTATTGAATGCAAAAAGGGCAATGCTTTCATGTTTTATTCACTGTGCTAATGTTCTGTTTGTCTATTAAATTTGACTAGACGTTTGACTTTTCTGACTTGTGGTTGAGAGTCGGTTAGTACTCCGGGCCCAGGCTAACTTTAGATAATAACTGTAAACATAAACTTTGAGATGCATTGCTTAAGCTAATAACGTCTTTATCACACACACAAAAACATATCAGAACTTTTCGACAAAGCTGACCTGACCAAAGGCACTTTCAGAAGGCCGTCATCTTTTGTTAAAAGTGAGGGACAAACGTTAGGAAGAGGAAATTAAAATAGTGTCTTTATTTAAAGAAAGAAGAAGGAGGAGGAAGAGGAGGAGAAGGAAAAGAGAAGGAGAAGGAGGAGGAGAAGGAGAGGGAGGGGAAGGGGGAGGAGGAGGGGAAGGGAGGAGGAGGAGGAGGAGAAGGAGAAGGAGAAAGAGAAGGAGAAGGAGAAGGAGAAGGAGAAGGAGAAGGAGAAGGAGAAGGAGAAGGAGAAGGAGAAGGAGAAGGAGAAGGAGAAGGAGAAGGAGAGGAAGAGGAATCCAGATGTGGAAGGAGAGACCAAGCCCAGTCCCAGGGCTGGTACAGCTCATGGCCATTGTTGCTGGCTGCTATGGTCCAGCATCCTGTCTGTGGCTCCTTTACTTCCTGTTAAATCTTCTCCAGTTTCTCCCTGTCCTGGGTTGAGTGTAACCCCCTGGTGAGGAGTGGAGAGAAGACACACATGGGTTCTTGCTTGCCTGGTGAGTTCGTCCCCAGGCTCATTGCGCCCTGGTTCTCTCCCAATTTATGCTCAACTTTGCTTTCTCATTGCCAGGTCTGCTACCTCACAGAACCTCAGACCCCTTCCCAGGTGTAGCAATAGTCTTCCAGAATATTCTTCACGCATCTCATCAACACTGAGGGCCTATCTTCTGTGGTTTGGATCTGAGTGTTCCCCAAACATCTGTGGGTTAAAGGCTTGGTCCTCCGTGTGGTGCACTGACCTAATAGAAACTCTTAAGGTCACTGGGGTCATACCCTTCAAGGGGGTGTAGGATCCCAGTCCTCTCCTCACTCCCTTTTGCTCCCTGACCATGAAGTAAGAAGTTCAGGCTCTTGCTATAATCTGCTGTGTTACCCAGATCAACCAATCATGCATGGACTGAAACCTCTAAAACTGTGAGCCAAAGTAAACCTTTTATCTTTATAAATTTATTGTCTCAAGTATTTTGTTTTAGTACTGGGAAGCAGACTAATAGCTTTCTTTATTTTTCTGTGCTATTCTAACAAACTACAGTAACTTAAAACAACAGAAATTTATTACATCATAGATTTGATAGTCCTACAGTTCAGAAGCCAAAAAATGAGTGTCACTGGGCTAAAATCAAGATGTCAGTGTGACTGTGTTCCTGTCTAGAAAGCTTTAGGGAGAAGCTGTTTCCTTGTCTTTTCTAATCCATCCTTGATTGGAATCCCTTCCTCCATCTTCAAAGCCAGCAATAGCTGCTCAGCTCCTCACTCAGCATCACTCTGTTTCTGACTCAGGCTCTCTCCCTCTTCACAGTTAGGGACCCTTTGACAGCATAGAGCCCACCAGACAATCCATGAAGATTTCCTTGCTCTAAGGTCAGCTGATGAGTAATCTTAATTCAATCTGCTGCCCCCACTCCCTCTTTGCCATTTAAAGAAACACACAGGTATTGTCAAACAGCTATAGTTAATATTGAAACTTTCTGAAAATGTATGATGAAGTAGACACCATCAATCTGTCTCAAAATACTCCCTCTTGCTTTGACCACTCTCATCCCAACATTCTTGCCACTTTCTGGAGCAGTTCTGGGAGTCTTCTTTTGGGAGTGTGCCTAGCTGTGCTATCCATGGCTGCCTTGATGTCCAGAATTGACTCAGAATATTTACTTCTCATGGTCATTTGGACATTGGAGAAGAGCTGGACATCACACAAGGCCAGGTCCGGTGAGTGAAGTGCATAAGGACTCACAGGAGTGTTTTTATTAGACTGCCTTTCTGGGGATGGCACTCAGCAGCACCTCCCTGGGTTCTGCCAGCCTGGGGCTGAGCTGTCTGTTTCATCACATTCCCCCAACATGGCACCAGGCCCTAGAAGCAACTTATCTCTCCAAGAGTAACTTCTCGGTTCTTCTTCTAGTTCCGAAAATAAACTTCCTACTCCCTTTTCACATGCACACCGAGCCCTCTCCAATCCCGACTCCACAACCACCCAAGCGTCCAACCCCAGCCCAACTTCATAAAAGCTGATCCTAGCTCCCCCGTTTTTGAGGGAATCTTGCACTCTTCTGCAGTCCTCAGTAAAGGCCTCTCTGTCTCTGTCTGTCTCCGTCTCTGTCTCTCTCTCTCTCTCTTTTTTTCTCTCTCTCTCTCAACTGCACCCCTCACGCTCACAAAGACACAAAAGAGGACTTCTAGAACTGCTTCAGAAAATGGTAAGAACAGAGGGATAAGTGTGTTTGAAGCGAATGGGAGTATTTTTAGGTTAATGGCAAGATGTCTTTTATTGTGACACATGTTTTCTTTGAAAACACATCATATATTCCAATCATGTCTTATATCCAAAGGGTCCAGGGATCAGGATGTAGACAACTTTGGGGCAGAGGGAGAATTATTTTGCCTCCAATACCTTGTTCTATGGCACTGCTTCTCTATCAAACCCTCACAACCTGCCTCAGGCCAGAAGACCATTTTAAGTCAGAGAAGATGCAGCAATGAGCTTGCGAGCATGGCGTCCCACCCCACGGTGTGCCACATCTCCTTGCAGCTACTATCAGGACATTGGAAAGGCCTCAAATGCCACAAAAAAGGCTCTCGCTGGTGGGTGACACCTGAAAGGCTGAAGAGCTGGGTTTGCAACAAGGAATACCCAAGTCTGGAAACCAAGGCATAGACACCTGGTGACTCACCACTGCTCCCAGGGTCCCCCGAGGGATCTGCATTTCCAGTTCCCACAACTTTAGGTGCCACTGGACTAGAAGAGTCCCTCATTTTCTGATGCGGGTGGCATAAGGTTATGCTTTACACAAGACACAGTCAGCGCTGCACTAAACTCAAAGCTGTGACTGCCCAGTCACAGTGACTTCCTCATGCCAAAGGGTATGAGATGTGGCCCAGTTGGGTGAGGAAGGAGATGCTATACAGGCAGGAAACTTTGCCCCATCTCTTTGGAGATGATGAAGCAGAAATCCTGACCTAATTGCAGCCATTTTGGTCAATAAAGTTGCAGTCATCCTGTTCTCCGCCTCTGAACTCAGCTAAATTACATGATCTGTCATCAAACCAACGCCTGTGAATGCTCTAGAAAGAACTTTGCTATGTACAGCTGTGCTCACCACAAGACACCCACTGTACCATGGCCTTCGGTGAGAAGCTTATCTCCTCTTTCTAACTTCTGTTCGCTAACTTAAAAAGCCAAACTCAGACTTTGGAGATTACTCCTCTGGGGTCCAAAAGCACCAGTAAAATTTCTCTCCTCCTGAGCTCCTAGCTACTGTGGACTCAATTTTTCCCACTATAGTGACCCAGTTCTATCTATATAGTGGATCAAGGAGGTGCAGATCTGGAATGTGGGTGCGTCTTGGTGCTTTTGGTGCCCATACCTAGGAACTGCATGGGCACAGTAACAGGGCACAAGTTCCCAGGGATACAGGTCAGGGTGGCCCCAGCACGCAAGCAACCCAGGTCAGAAGTACAGGTGGAGAGAGGAGAAGCTGAAGAGGGGAGGGAAGATAACTCTATTAGGGATTGTACACATTGTCTGTGGGAACTGGAACTGCCCTCTCCCCAAACCTTCCTATCAGGAAGGTTTTTCTTCTTTTAAAATTGGAGAATGAGTATCACATGGACAGAGTTAGTGTGGGACAGAGGCTCTGAGTGTGCAGGGTGGTGTAGGAGACACACAGAGCTTCTTCTGTCCTGGGCATTTAATGTTCCTGAGCAAAAGGAACTTCTAAATCCAGAGCCTGTGACTCTGCCCGGGTGATTGTTTTGGCTTCCAAATTTTATGCAAGGATCCACAGCAGTTGGGTATCATTGAGTGGAAAGTTTGTACTCAATCTAGAGCAGCACAGAATATTAAAAGAGAAGAGGCAAGTAGATAAAGAGTTTAATGAGGGCATGGAGGCCTTGTCCTGCAGACAAAGGGCAGGTTCTGCCTGATATAGGCTCTGATGGGGGAGGAGCTCTGCTGGCTGGTGTGAGCTGATTTATTTCGTGAGAGTGCAGGGGATTGGGTAAACCTTTACGTGCCTGAGCTTTGGCACAGACTTTTGGGTGGGAGAAGCCATAGTGCTTCTGGGAAGAAGGAGGTTTACATTCTCAGGGCACAGCTTTGAACCACTGCCAGCATGACTGTGCTGTCTCAGACAGAGGATCTCACACCATATAGAGGCAGGAAAGCTGCTAGACATCCTACAACACACAGGACAGCCCGCAATAATACAGACTGTTAGAATTCACTTGCTGATTTCTGAAAATAAACAAGGGTAGTATTTGGTGGGGGTCACACTGTCTGTCTTTCAGTTTGGGGAATAAGGACAGGCTGACAATTGTAAGCCTCCCAATCCACGCATGCAGGGTGGTCTTCCAAACCCTTTAAACCAGGAGAGCAAGCAGAAGTTTAGTTCCCTGAGCTGAAATCTTGCTTAACCTAGAGATTCACACATGTAAATTTTCCTCGAAGTACTGTTTTTGCTGCCTCTCCTAAATTTGATCTATTGGGTTTTCATTTTCATTCATCTATATGTATTTCTAACTTCTCTCACTGGTTAAAAATGTGTCAAGTTTCTATATTTTGGGGCTGTCCCATATTTCCTCTATTACTGACATCTAATTTTATTCCATCGTGGTCATAGGGTGCCTTTTATGATTTTAATTATCTTAAATTACTTTAGACTTTCCACATGCCCCGACTTAAGGTCTATAGTAACAAATGTCCTGTCACTGAAAAAGAACATGTATTCTCTGTGACTGAATGGAGCGTTCTATCGATTTCTGTTCAGTCAATTTGGTTCATAGTGTTGTTGAAATCTTCAATTTCCTTGTTGATCTTCTGTCTAGTTGTCCTAATCATCATTGAAAAATCAGACATTGAAGCAAGCACCTCCTCTCCCTGGTGAGCGGCAGCAGTGTGGCCCCACTGCAGCCCTTCCAGGGAGAGAACCAGCAGTGTCTCCTGAGATCCGCACCATGTTGGAACTGAGGACGCTGTGAAAACAAATGACCATCTTGCCTCCCTGCTAAGCAATAGTGAACTTACCGCTACATGGCCTAGAGTCAAATATCCCACTTCCCCTATCCTCCTTCTCCCCCCCACCCCACCCCACCCATTAGCAAATGGGAACGAGAAATCTGAGCATCTCCTGGCAGGTTGACCATAGCAAATAAGGGGGACTTCCTTCTACCATTTCTTTGAAGGCAAATATTTTTATTACTGTTTTGCTCTTTTCTAATTAATGGTACTGCTCTATTCAATATTCTGTTTTGATAAGTTTTATAGTGTTCTATATTTCATCTCATTTTGATATACGTGACTGAAAGAACAACTATTATAAAGATAACAAAATATACTGTGATACCTATTACTGTTAAAAAAAAAGTAAAGGAAGGCCTTCAATTTTTGGCCATTTAATATGAAAAAAAAAAAGAAAAAGAAAAATCAGACATTGAAGTCTCCAGCTATTTTTTGCCTTTGTTCTGTCAATTTTGCTTCATATATGTTGGGATTCTATTGATAGATGCATATGTGTTTGTTATCTTTATTTCTCTTGATTGCACATTTTATTATTATAAAACATTATTCTTGGGCTGGAGATTTAGCTCAGCTGCATAAGCACCTGCCTTGCAAACGCACAGTCGTGACTTTGATCCCTGGTACCAATTAAAAAGAAAGGAAAAAAAACATTATTCTTTATCTTTAGACACAACTTGTACCTTAAATATTTGTTTGCCTGATATTAGTGTAGCTGCTAAAGCTGTCTTTTGGTTATTATTTGCATAGTATGTTGTTCCACCCTCTTAGGCTGGTTATTATTTTTTTAAAATAATAATTATTTATTGAGATGATCATTGTGTCAGTAGTTCACATTTGAACAATGTAATTCATATTAACTTAATAAGATTACATTATTTTTAGGCATAATAAAGTAATTTGCATTTTCCAGTTATCTACAAGGCTCTAAAA